ACTTCCTTGCGTACGGATGACAGCTGCGTATGACTTAATTAATTTTCTGGTGCTTTCACTTCCAGAGACAGTTGTTAGCACTGTGTAGACTAACTGCCTCGAGGGTGCTTGACCATTTTAACACAACGTGGTGCGATCATCCCCCTTGCGCGGAGTGAGGGTTCTCGACCCCGCACAACATGATCTACTCGACCACCATTATGGTTACCGCCAAAAACAAAAACGGAGGTAAAAAACAAAAACGGTAACCTGGTTGCCGAGTGCACGAAGTGAAATGGCTTGTTTAACAACGTCTTTGCCAAGCGACGAAGACCCAATCCCGATGGCAAACACCGGGGGGCGGCGGCTTGTTTTACAACGTCTTTGCCAAGCGACGAAAACCCAACCCCGATGGCNTGAGTATTCGAGTGTTACATGCTCAAGTCCAGAAATTGACGCATCCGGTATAATCTTCTTTGATAGCAGCGATAGGTACGGCAAACACGGGGCAAACATCAGTAAAAGCCGAAACAAAAATCAAAAGTTGCAGAAGCAGGAACAAACAACGAGAAGGGAGCCCCGTTCATGTCACGTCAAAAGAGTGCGTGCACTTCGCCGACCAAAAAACAAACAAACAGCGTCAGTGCATGTTGGCTTGGAGACACGGAAGGCTGGGACGAAGAGTTTTCTACTCGGGGGGGATGGCATCCCACGCAACTCGACCGAAGCAACATGCCTGCAAAGTGAAAGCAATGAGGACTACCATTCTAGCAGCAACTGGCAAAACAGCAACCACTGGAATACCAGCAGCAATATCAACCACAAACCAGGTATCACTGGTATAAATCAGTGTACTGTAGGCTTCAATAGACTCAAAATACGTCCAGTTTCCAGCTAGTTTCCCTCCACTCGCTGTAAAGAAATCAACACATCCATTTCGACTGTGGTATTTCTAGAACTCAGTCTGACATAAATATTTTCTAAGAAAACGACGACCACATGGTACCTTTTTGGCCCTGGGGTAGTAGTAGTCGACGAGCTCGAGCCTGACCCTTCCTTTCTTGCCGGCAAAGTGGAGCATGAAGTCGCCCGACTCGTAGCTGCCAGCAAGGAACGGGAAAACACAGAGCGCCCAGTTAGAGAGGCCCGCAGAGCAGCCGGGGGATGCGCCAAACCGTTGTCTCCATTCGCTACAAAACATTAGACAGGGGTTTATGATGGTCGGACGACACAACAAAAAAAAAACGCGCCCCCCACTCTGACTTGGTGTGTTTGCGTCTGCTCGAAAATACACTCGCCATCTCACGCCCCACACTCTGCTGCACGATGGAACCAAAGCATGTGTGTGTGTTCGTCCCATCTGTTCTGGCGCCGGTTTACAGGCCTAGTCTAAGCATGCAACAACAACAAATCCAATAAATTGCCAACTTAGCAATACGAGTGCCCGCTCAACTGCTGCGCCAACAGTCCAAGGCTTACCCGTAACAGTCAGGGACGGCACTACATTGCCGGCGCTGTGTCTGCTCTGCGTGCTTATCCTGGGCTTACGGTCTATCCCACTCACGTTGCTCATGTGCAAAGCAGCAGTGGCTTGCGTCGTGCCGACAGACCACGAAAACATAAAAAAAACACGCGTTTGAAAATGGAAAGCGCGCTAAACATCGATCGGTCACGACCAACGTTGGCGATACTTTGCTACTATTTGTTTCTATACATATCATGTTTTTTGTTTCTTTGCTCCATATTGTCTTCTCTCTCTCATCTCGAGCCTTTTAGCTCCTTTTTTCTTCCCTCGTCTCCCAGCTTTCTTTGCTCCTTCTTTTCTTCTCTCGTCGTTGTGGTTTCCTGCTCCATCGTCTCTCTCTCGTCGAGCTTTCTTTGGAGTACGTATTTTCTTCGCACACCTTCGTCGTTTCTTCGCCCCCCTACTCATGTGAGAGCCTGGTCCGGTGAAAACCCGGCGTGCTCCGTCCCGGTTTTGGAGGGATGCGAGGTCAATGGTCTAACGACTACGCTTGCACGAATATGAGTACCCCTCCCCCCCCTACTGTTCTACTCTCATCTTCGTTTTTTTCTTTTCCCCTAGATTATCTTCGTGACAAGATTTTTTTCCAAAAAAAAAAATACCATCTCCTGCATATCGCCCGCTACAATAATTGCTCGCCTCACCACACACCTCGCCGCGCTGCCGACGCTGGTCCGGCCCAGCAGCACCTGCCAGGGGTGCACCAGGTAGCTGTTCATCGCGCACTGGTCCAGCACGGCCGTGTGCGCCCTCACCACCGCGTAGTCCGCGTAGAACGGCAGTCCCTCTTCCTTCCAGCAGTCCGTCTGGAGGAGGTAGTGCATCGCGCGCTGTTGTGTGTGCGCGCCGGGGGGGAGGGAGGGCGGGCGAGCGGACGGGAAGGCAGAGACGGGAGGGTGGGAAAACAAGAGGTAGGTTTAGCAACCCCCGTGGTACCTACCGTCGTCATCGTAAGAACATCAACTTGTCGGGTCCGCAGGCAGGGGCCAGCGCAGGAAAACAGTGAAACACTAGAGACAGTTCAGCACCCCCCCATGGTATCTACCGTCATCGCAGAGCATCAACTTGCCGGCAGCGGCCAGCAGCTGGTAATTTCCGCTTTCGAGTGATCGAACAAATGGAGTCTCCCTCATCTCTGTAACCTCGTGTATCGGTTCCTCTTTGAGAGGTGGCCAAAAACGGGCACACCGCCGTGGCCACGGTCTCGTACGCCTATATATGCTCCCAGCTACCGCATGACGCCATCTGATTGGCCAACGCCCCGCCGCCACTCGAAACCAAGAAGAAACACGCACGCATACACACACCTGCTCGTAGTGGAAGGGATACGGCCCGTCGACGAACTGCTTCTGATCCCACCACTCCTGCAGGAGCCACCGCGAGAAGTCAGAGTTCTTTACCAGAATCACGCCGGAGTTGGGTCCGTTCCAGTCTTGCGTGACGATCAGGTCCGATCCATTGCCCGCCCCTGTTGCGCCGAAACGACACGGTTCGCGCCGCACAATCCAAGGGCGAGCGTTTGATGTCAACACACGTCATAGAAAGGTGGGCGCGAAATAGATCCCATTGCGAGCACATTATGCCTTGGGGTAAGGTCAGACTTTGTCACGCAGCGTTTCAGCACTCCGGAGGAAAGGCGAGAAACGTTGGTGGCGAAAATTAAAGGGGGTTGTAAAACAGGCCATGGTAGCGTACTTTTGACAGGAGCACGCACTAGCATCCGGGCTCAAGTAGCCTAGTGCATCACCACCAATGATAATCGAAACGCAGCGGCGTGCTACCAGTATTACTCATCATGGACGCCCATGCCCTGCCCCACTACATACATCACGTTTGCCGAGAACGTTCAATCCCGTGCTGCCAGTACTACTTATCGTGGACGCCCGTACCTTGTCCCACTAAATACATGACGTACGCCGAGAACGTTCAATTCACTGAAGCACACACTAGCAATGCCTACAATCGTCAGCGAACAGTTTGGTCCAGAGTGAGAAACGTATATGTCGTGACTGCAACCTAGGGACCGAAGGAGAATGGCTGCACGCTGGTTAGCGGACCCACTCACCCCATCCGTCTATCTCCCCCGTCTGCTGCTGCTTCCTGGCCACGTCGAGGAGCCATTCCAGCTTGAAAGCCGGGTTCATCACGAACGCGTCGATGTCGACAAAGCTGCCGCCCGTCGATAACGAGACACAAAGAATGACAGCAGGAGGAAGGGACGGTAATGAACGATACTCCATACATGTCATAACGAAATATACTCCATACCATAGAAAGAACAGAACGCTGAGTCCGATCGAGGAACAAATTGGCTGAATGGGGTTGGGGGGTACGGGGGCGTAATCTGATGTTTTCCATGCCTTAGTTGATAAGCCATTGGCCACGCGTCCTCGAGAGGACGGAGCATGGTTCCCGCAGGACCGATCACCGATGGCCAATCGTGCGCTTCTACTTTGCCAAAGGTGGCTCGAACAATGATTTCCTATCCTATCCAATCGATATTACTTCCCGCCAGCTTACTTCCTACGCCCCAGTATAGCTACCGTCTTCTCCTGGCTGTCTCATGCCTCAAAACCTTTGTACATTCCTTTTTTGTTCCCCAGCTCAGTCACGTACATTTCTGTCCTTTTCGTCAAACGAAGATTTCGTGGTAGCTGTCTCTCTCTCTCTCGTTGCTAAATAGGCATCTTGTGTCTGCTTCCACTGGAAACGCATCTCACATGACGTAGTCGTAGCTCCCGAGGTGCTTGCTGAGCACCAGGAGCTTGCTCCACGCCGCCGGGCGACTCCGGTCGATATCCGCGCTCGTGGCAACGATCACGTCGTACCCGTGGAGAGCGGCGTACGCCTTCTTGTTCGCAATGGACTTCTCCGAATACCTGTGCGAGCCAAACGAAAAAAAAACGGGCAAATATACAGCATCGACGAACGGAAACATCAACTGCTGCGGGCCCCCCCAAAAGGGCGTATCGCTCGTTTGCGATTGACCGCTGTAATTCGAAAGTCGCCGTGCCAACAAGCAGCACACACACCGTGGTCGAGAACACTCTTAGGGNGGGGGGGGGGGGGGGGGGGGGGGGGGGGGGGGGCAGCACGGATGTGTAACTTCCGCTGGAACAATAAACACGAGGTCATCGGTACAGCTGGCGCTGTTTCGCAACATGGTACGCTCCGTGCTTCTTGGGTACGTCTGTTGTGAAGTTTGTGTAGGGACGGATACTATTGGTGAGGGGGGGGAGACGGTACCTCCCTCGATGAGGCTCCCACGATGAGGCTCCCTCGATGAGGTAGAATAAAACAACAGTACCGTCGCTCTACGGACCGAGCATCGGACATCGCACATAGCAGCAAGGGAGACGATCCCGGCACATTCGCTCGCGCGCGCCGTTTCTCCCGTCCAGGAAGACATCTGCCTGCCGAGAGTCCATCCAGACAGACGCCTGTCTGCAGAAAAAAACGCCTCGGGGCGTAAAGCACAAGCGTCCACTCAAATACTCACTCCACGCCCAGTCGGAACCACAGCACTTACTCTTTAGGCCACATGCCTTCGTCGCACATCAGAATGATGCCGAACCGTAGCCCGCCCCTCTCCCCGCCTCCTCCCGCTGGGGCAACCGCGGCGCCTCTACCCTTGTCGTCTAACCCCTCCTCCATAGCGCCGGCGCCCCCCCCGACCCCACGCCCTGCTACAACCGGCGGTGCCCCCCAGCCTCCTCGGGACTCCCTTGTGAGCTTGACGATGGGACACTCTCCTCTTGGAGGCTGGGTGGCCTCCATGGCGCGGACCTGATTTTGTTGTTGTTGTTGGACACAGACAAAGAGGGGAAGCAGCAGCAGCCAGCGGCGACGCATCGGTATGGGCAGCATTTCTGAGGTGTTCATGAGACGCTTAAACACCGCGGTGCCAGCAACCGAAAACAACAAGCACCGTGGCGTGATCTGTGCACTCCACGCAAAAGACCCCGACACCAATATTTTGCTGTTGCTGTTTGGCCATTTGGAATTGTGAGTCCACCAGCGGAAACAACAGCTACGCGTTGCTCTTGTGGTCGATTTTGGCAGTATTTGCACTGGTTATCCGAAACAATCCTGGGATCATCTTCGCTATTAATTTTTTTAGTCTCATGTCTCATCATTTTTTTTTCGCCGGGCCATGAGCCTTTTCCACGTCTTGCTGCCTTACGCTAAGCGTGCTTCACTCCGCTTGTGGCCGCACAGAAAGTGCGCCATTCCATTGACGTTCTTCTACGTGAAAGCGAGGCACGTGATACAGGCCTCAATGGTCCTGAAAATATGACAACATCCCCCGAAACCGCTTAGCCACGTGAAACAAAAAAAAAAGACAACCGAGCTGTTCCCAGAGACGCGAGCGCTGCCCGCTGCAACGCTCACCTGCAGGCAGTAGGTTCGGATGTAGAACTCCCGCACGGCGACACACGACAACCACGCCAGGCAAAAGGCGAGCCCCAGCCTCCTCGCCCACGCCAAGACCCGCCTGCCCCTGGAGGCCCTGCCGCCGCCGCCGCCGCTGGTGCCGGTGCCGGAGCTAGAGCTACCTGCTTGAAAGCCGAGTTTCCGTTGCTTTCGGCAAACGCTGCTGCCGCTGCTGTTGTCGATGTTGTTGATTCGCGAATTACCGACGGCGCACGACTCGCTGCTGGGAAGAGGGGGGGGGGGCACGCGGACAACAGCGACAGAAGGAGGCAAGGTTGGTTGGTTGCCGGTTGTAGACGCCGACCCGAACGGCGATGGCACGGTGTAGCAGCAGTGCCCTCCATAACTGCTGTGCGTATACATGATGCCAAACTCTTGTTCAGACACACTCGCGCAGCATACGTTATGAATTAACGGGACGAAACAGTAGTCCGAAACTATCAGGCATCATTATTCCCGAGGTAACATTCTGTTGACATTCACACACATCAACTCTGTAGGGGGCTCCCCACTCGAACTACTGCTCTAAGAGATGCAAATTCCCAACAGAGACTGTGCAGTTAGCATGCGGTGTGCATGCGTGCGTGTGAGGAATGAGCGTGCACATTCAGGGGGACCAAAAAACATACTTTATCTGAGAGCATACACTCATAGCTGAGTATCGAAAACAGCAGCTCCGGCAAACGGTAGGCAATCCAGGGATCGATTACATTACCCCACAACGAGCTGTTGTACACGATGACTGAGCGGTGAGAATTTCAGGAAGCGTGCGCGAAACAGCGATTCGGCTGTCAACCTAGCGAACCACCAGTGTTGCTTCCAAAGGGCAAGGGTAACTATCGTATTGTTATTTGGCTTATTGGACAGAGAGAGCTTGACTACAAAACCAAGGGAAAAGCACCTTTCTTTGCGACCGGCGGACCCTGTATATACCATAACCCGTCCGACAAATATGATACCTGGTACAAGCTCCACATTAATGAGAATTGGGAGGTTTGTCCTCTAGGGAACATTACTCGATCGGTTGACGTGTGAGACGTATTTTATGTGTACAGCCACAACATACGAAACCTGAACACGCAGCCCCGAAAACATCAGAAAATACTCGCGATTAAGGTACTTAGCGGGCGTGACACACACAACAGAAAATTGATAAAGTAGCGAAAGCCGGTTGACGTCGCGCGGATGCTTTTCGTGAAAACACAAGCGCACCAGAGGGGGCCCCTCCGTACAACGCGAGAAGCGTGAAAAAGAACAAAGCCTTGAACGTTCCGTATAAACTCTATACGACGTCACGCGTAGCACGTGCTTGGTACGTGTAAAACGATCAAAACACCCTTTCGAGCGGATCGGTCGTTGTATCTCGAGCGGATCGTCTTTCTCTTACAAGTCACGTATGCATAGAGTGTCCAGCTGTCTACCTAAAATTGAACGGCGAGAACGATCCGCGGATCAGCCCCCCATTCCCCAAGAAAAAGGCCAGAAAAAGCCTGGAGGGTTCCACCGCGCCAGGATCAGAGCATCTCTAGAGTACTCTATTTGTCGCCTGATTTCGAACGAGAACGAGACAGAGCAGATGCTAGCCCTGTCGCTTCGTTGCACCCACAAACTACACTGCTATGGTCGTGCCCATGGCCGCTCCTGAGAAAGGCAGGCCCCACATATCGACGTGCGGACAGCACTGGTGCGTTTGTGCGTGCACAGTGACACACACATACGTCTATGACTTTCACTGCCTTAGAAAACATGACAACATGATGATGTGGGCAATGAGTAAGGTCGTCCTTGGCAAGATGGCCGACAGCATGAGAATATCAACGGGCAAAGAAGTGCGCGCAGACCCGACGAAGAGCGAGGAGGTAGATTTCTTCAAAGGGACAGCTCGGGCGCAGGTGCACCTACCCATGCGTGAAGGAGGACTAGGAATCACGAGCAATGTTCTCATTCGAGAATCGGCTTTCGTGACAGGGCAAGCGCTGGTGTTCTCCAAGTCAGTGCAAGCATCGACACCATACACAGTTGAGCAATGTCTACCCCGGCTTGCCCAGCTATCGACAGGATTGGCTCTGATTGACTCGCTCAAAAAGCTGGAGGAGATCATCACCAAAGACAAGCTTGAAAAATCTGTTGGGCAGTCACGGGCTAAACTTGCCACAAGTGATGAGTTAACCCCCGCCCTCAAAGGAGTTTATCTGTTGAAATTAGGGAAGACGAGAAAACCCAGTGAAGATGGAAACCCTGACGTAGAACATCAACCACCGTCTACCTACAGCCGAAATGAATTTGGTCAACACTACCAAGTCTTAGGAGCCCAAGCTCTCCTTGTCGAAACCTTCTAATGCAGCAGTGCGTCACATGGTGGAAACAGACTTGCAGAAGGTAATAGGCGAGGAAACGTTTAAGAAGAGGGCACTGATCCGCTTGGAGGAAGCGAAAGGCAAGGGAGTTTTGTCGTGGTTGACAACGCAAGGGTTGTCAGCAGATGAAAGAATGCTGCCTGATCAATATCGAGAGCCAATCTGCCGTGTACTGGGGAGTCACGATCGAGCAGACTGCAACACAGGCAAACTTTGTGGTGCAGGTGCATTGTTACCATGCAAGGACCGCTTGAGCCGAGCCCACTCCCTCGTCTGCACCAAGACCGGCGCCTCAACCTTCCTCCATAACAGGATGGTTAGAGTGGTCCTCAAGACACTGCGCGAGTGCCATATGCCCATCGCCGTTGAGGATTCTTCCCCTTTTACCACAGGCACTGGTAGGGGAAAGGGGCTATACAAGATGGATTTGGTAATCCCCCCAGGATTACACGCAGGAGAGAAGGAAGAGGACCTCTGCACCAAGTCCATTCTGATCGACGTAACAATCGTCAACCCATCAGCAGGTCGAAGCATCGACAAGTCGATCCTTAAGCCAGGATCAGCCCTCGAAGATCGAGCTGCAAGTAAGGCAAATCACTATGCGGGAACTTTCAACCCGTCTAGATCTACCCTCCTTACTGCTGCTTTTTCAACGAATGGTGGTCTTGGCAAAGGCACCAATCGACTCATCGTTGCTATCGCCAACCACTTGGCGCACGAAGCTTTTTGCCGGGGGAATTTTGACGACGAAAGAGCCTTAGTTCGCCTGAAAGCTTTTCATACTAACAGGATTCGGAGACGGTTTACCTTCGAGCTAGCTCGTTTTCTGTCGATTCCAACTCGCTATGTGTTCAAAAGTCATGGGCTACTGATCGACCAACTTCCAACAGGGCGAATCGGTTGGGATCTCTGCGACAACGATAGTAATGAGGGTAATTCGTTTAGGAGTGACGGAGACGAAGGAAAGGGGAAGGGAAGAAAGGAGAACGAAGACGACGATGGAGGAGGAAAACATGGAGGAGTGGAAGAGCGTAAAGGGTTTGAGCCAGATGACCTTCCCCAAAACAAAAAACGTAGGGCTAGGGAAGAACTGCCCAGAGATTCTTGTCAAAATGCGGATCAGAATAATGGTAGCGAAAACAAGGAGGATAAAGGTGGAAGTACTCCTAAACGAACTCGAGTACAAGGTAATAAATAGCCTTGGTAGACGCGTGCAGTTTTCTTCTTTTGCTGCTGTTTCTGTCTTTGATCCGAATGCTGTCCCCTCACGAGGTCCCAGTTCATGGCAGATAGAAGTGTTTTGTGTTTTCAACCGCACTAAGACTGACGTATTTTTATTGGTCAGCCGGTTAGCGCGGTCGATGCTAACAGTAAAACATATAGACTACGTATCATGCGTTGGTTGAACCCAACCAGACCCCCGGCCGGGACAAGAATTAATTGTTCTGTCATCCAAAACTGCTGAGTACGACTGCAGCTTTTGCGGAGCAAAACAAAGGTTCACGAATAGGCCAACTGTTCGTTGTCCGCACGATAACTATACCGTAACGCGTCAGGAATGTTCTGGCGAGAGCAGGTGTAGACAACGCGGGAAAGGCGTGCAAACGGACGTACAGTCCGCGATGATTTGCTTGCTCCTCCCGCTACGAAAACATGCGATACGATGCCTGAAGCTGGCTGTTGTCATTTCGATCGCTGGGGGCATTTCGCCTTAAAAAAAACGCACCGTGAGACGTCAGGAGCCGACCTTCGCCGCTTCCGAAGCAGCCCTAGCCACTCGCCACCTCTCCACGCGGCCACATTCTTCAAGCTCCAGTTCTCTCCGGCCGCCCCCCCGTTCCCCTTAGTCTCCACCATGGACATCATAGCAGCACCACCACAACAACAGCTACAACACTTCGGGCACGGCGGATGCCGTTTCCATGCCATCGCGGGGCTCGCGCCGAGCGCCGAGGGTCTCGACCCTCTAGCAGTCTCTCCCGGGGTCGGCGGTGTCGCGTCGTGCGGTTGCCGTTGTTGCTGGTTCAGGCACTCTTCGCCTGCTGCCTCGCTCGGCGAGGACACTGCTGTGCTCTGGTGCTGGTGCTGCGCTTGCCGGGGCCGGCGAAGCCTCGGTGGCGCGCTGTTGTCGCTACTCATCGTGTCTCGTCGCCGGACGGTCGGCGCTTCTGCTAACTCTGCTGCTGGGGATACTGCTGTTGGTGTTGTTGTTTCTACTGTTGCTGAGGCTACCTCCTCATGCTCTTTGTCGGGTGCAGCGGTGGACATCACTCGGGCAATCTACAGCAGTACCTCCAGCAGAGACCAACAACAGCCTTTCGATATCTTCCACCTTGGTTGGATCGGGACACTGCTAACTCTGGCAATAGCGGTGGGCGCAATACCTCGCCCTCTCCGTCTCTCTACCTCAGGCGTTGGTTGTCGACAGCAGTTTAACCACAGCAGTCGCGGGAACCTCTGCAGTATGGGCAGGCAGCGCCTCACGCGCGGAACAATGGACGCGCCGGGTAGGGGGGGTACCCTCCGGATGCCCCCCTCGTTAAATCTTTTCCCAGAAAATTCTGTGGAGCGAGAGGTTCCACCTTTTTCTTCTCGTCGCATCTATTCATCCTGGCGCCAGTCTCCAGCAATCTTCACGTCTACACCAACCAGGTCCTGTGGCTATCTTGTGTGCAGATAGAAACTGTACCTGCAATCACGCCAAGAGTGTGGCACATCGTATGCATCTGCGAACCGTTTTCTGGGGGATGCGGGATTTCGTGGGGCCAAAAATGGGCTGCGTGATGTTACCCTGGCAGGCCCGGGCGGGGCGGGCGTCATCAGCAGTTACTGTAGGTCGCACTCGAACCAAAATACAAACTTGGACCAGCAATATCCATGAAAAAAAACATCCATGTACATACACGTAATGGAGGAATCGAGCGGCTGACCCGTGGAGACCAGGGTGGTGGCAGTCTAAATACTTTTTATTCTTCCGAGGCGCTCTGCTGTGCGTAGTCGTGATCACAAAGAGGGCGCGAGGACGGCCATTCAGGACGCACAGCCCCCCCCCCCCCCCCCCCCCCCCCCCCCCCCCCCCCCCCCCCCCCCCCCCCCCCCCCCCCCCCCCCCCCCCCCCCCCCCCCCCCCCCCCCCCCCCNACAAAGAGGGCGCGAGGACGGCCATTCAGGACGCACAGCCCCCCCCCCGCACCGCCGCCCCCACGCCCCCCTTTTTAGTGCTCTTGATCCCGAATCCAGGTTGGTTTATATAGGAGTTAGAATGAGACGGCCACATCGGGGATAACACGTCACGCCCCCCCTTCTAGTCCGGGGCATGGCAACCAAACGCCCCTTGATCATGGCCCTTTTCGGGAAAACTTGAGCCTACTTTTCTCAACGGGCTTCTCCGTAAGCGGGCCGCTTACATTGTTCTCAAACGACAGTTGCTTGCCTTGGAGTTTTGCACCTCACGATGAAAGCAGTCATCATGAACAAGCCGGAAAAGGCGGTCCTCCCCTCCGATAGCACCCTCAACTATCTACACGACGATTTGACGGCCCCCCATTAAAAAGGTCTAGTCCTCTCTTGCCTGTACAACCTGTCGACCAAACGCTTCCCTCTCTAAAGCACGAAGACCCCACACGATAACAAATTTGGGATTCCCACCAAATCCAACCTGCAAATCGCACGAAACTCTCGCGACATGACGCCCGCAACACAAGCCTCAACAACCAGATAGCAACAACATCCACCCTCGTCAATCCTCTCCCTCGCACTCGGAAGACCCAGCAGCAGCACACCTACTGCTGTGGGATGGCAAAATACCTGGTGCTGTATGCCGTGTTTACCGCCCTAAGACCTATGGTTTTTTCCCTCGTGGCGCCCAAAGCGACACCTGTTCCCACCTGCACCACCACCGCATGTCGGTGACATCAAAATCAACACGAGTCAATTTGTCGCGTCCATGCCCCGACCTAAACTTAGGTTTCCCATGTGAATTTCGTCCGATAACACGGTCAGCACGCACTAGCTAGCATTCACATGTCTCCCCTTTTGCCAAAAAGGCTTCGGAAATGAAGTATCCGCCCCCGCCAGTGACACCCCCGATCCGAGCTGTACGCTTACACGTGATAGACACGATCGCGCCCCTGGCAAGCGAACAGGAAGGCCAGGCAAGGAGCAACGACGCGGTCAACGATGATATCCCTTGCTACTACTACTGCAACTGCCCGTCTTGAACGAGCCCCTGGTGCTTGTACCGCGTGAGTTGGGAGGAGACTCCCTCCAGACCTCCGCAGTGCACATACATGAGCTGCGGCTGGCGTTCGTGTTGGGGGCGGAGGAAAGAAACGACGAAGCAGAAACAAGTTGAAACAACCATATGCTTGCAATCGGCAGAATTATGAAGTACGATTGTTTATGTCCCATTGATGTCTTTAGTATCACTTTTGTTCTTCCGTAGGTTGCTTGCGGTCGGAGAATCTTGCAAGTACGATTGATTAATGTACTTCAAGCGGTAGGAGGAGTCGTTGTACGGATAACGGTTGATCAACGAGGCAAGGAAAAGTGGAACGCAGGGTTCAAATTTGTCAGAAAAAAACTTGCGCGGCGAAAGATTTTATTCAGCTGTTTTTTTTACCAATCAGATCACCACGTGCTAATGCTGCTGACCGCATGATTCATGACATGAGGGAGTGGCCGCACGGAACAAAAAAAACGAGCCCGGGTTCGCTCCAAGAACAACGAAGAGAGGCTCACAACTGCCTCCGCCGTTGCCGCTGCACCTACGCACCTCAGAATCGATCGGAGGGCCTGGAGTCACCGACACAGGAGACCCCGACGAATCCCACGAGTCCATGATCACCTGGGCGCCGAAACAAAGAAGAAGCGAGGCGAAGAACGAGCGTCGCGTGGGCGGTCTGTCTGTCGCTTGATCCAGTCATCGCTGTACCGCCATATATGTGGTCGAGATCGTCGGCCCACACGGGAAGCCCCGTCCTTGTGTGCGTTTGTTGGGTGCTATCTACGCTCTCGCCTCGGCTCCTTATTTGTGTAATTTTGCGAACCGCTACTAAATTAAGTCGATCAAACGCAAAAAAAAATGACGAGCGACGAGCCGCGCGAGGTGACCGACACCGGCGTCTACCTCTGACAAGAGATTTCCGCTAACCGCTGTGATGGTCCCTGGCTTGTGATTCACGTGGTTACATTCTTGTTTCGTCTTGTGCGTTCGGTGCATGTACGGCTATATCTCAACCGAAAGCATACCTCCCACGCCGGAGCGGCATACAGGAGGTCCACGAACAGGCCCGCCTTGTCCATCTCTCGCCAAACCTGACAGGGCACACAGCAACAACGGGTAAAAACGCTTGACACACATCATATCGCTAAGTGGCGTGGAACGCGGGAAACGATGCATACGCGGAAGGGGAGCAGGAAGAGGGGTCACCAGAAGCTTATGTGGCGTGTATTTTTTCGTGGTCTAGAAAAGGTGAACCATCCCTTTGGGAGGGGGCGTCAGAACCAGCGTTCACGCAAAGTGGTGGTTGTGCTGGAGCGCTTCGATGAATGTGGTGGTTTTCGGGGGGGGCATGTAATGGTTGTGGAGGGCCAGGGCAATCTCCGAAGAAAAACTTGAAGAGAACCGAGAGAGTGGTGGGTGTACAGGGGCGCGAGTTTGAGGTGGGTGCGAGGAGAACGGTCTGGAAGAAACACACAGAGAGCCCAATTTAATGTGTGGAAACAAATCGATAAGACAATTTAAGAGAGCAGGAGAGATAGACCATAGAGAACAAGCACACAGATAGACAGACAAACAGAGACCGAGAAGGTCGCGGAAACAGCCGAGCGCCCCACATGCTCTTGTCGCCACTACCAACCACCTCCTCTTCCCCTCTACACACCTCCAGGAGCTCTCGCTTCGGCGCGCCAAACGCCGCCTTCCTCTTTCTCGTCTCTTGCACGCACTGCGGGAAGATACCCACACCCCCGGACGCGCGATCCACCTGACGAGGAGGAGCAGACAAAAAATGACAAAAAAAAGTGCTTGTACGGATGGCAAGATGGAATCGCGACAGATGCAAGGGCTAAGCAGACAAAAAAAGGTGCTTGTACGGATGACAAGAGAAAGATGAAGCGGTTGAGCAGGAGAGAAATGAACGTGCTAAAAATGTGACGAAAGAAACGTGTAACGGCTGAGCAAACAAAAAACCGATGTGCTTGTTCGGATGACAAGGCAATTGGCCAAAGGTGTAACGGCTGAGCAAACGAAAAACAAACGTGCTTTGTACGGATGACAAGAGGAAGATGGAACGCGGCTGTACCGATACCGCTGTCTCTCCAAGCTTGTCGTCTCTCGGAGAGAGACAGAGAGGAAGAGAGACGCAACGCTTGGGAAACTCATCCCCTTCGATTACTATTGCAAACAGTGGGGGGGGCTGTTTAGCGCCGGTTGAATAGTGCCGGTGTTTCCGGTGGGCACACACTGAGTTTCCAAGTCATTCTCAATGCCTTGAATAGTGCCGGCCCATTATAGTATAGTGCCGGTTAATTTTCTGGGCACATACTGTACCGGCACTAAACAGGGCCTCTACTGTACTGTTTCCAAAATACTTGCAACCCCTGTTGCTTAGTATCCCTCCCAGCTTGACCACCTACGGCGAGAGAGACAGCGAGGGAGAGCGATGCTACACGGTTGAAAAACTGAAGCTGCAAAAATACCGCAAGCTGTCCCCTACCTTTGCCATCTGTCTGTACAGGTAGCCACTATCCCCCGCGCACGGCACGGTCAGGACCGGGATGCCCTCGGGCACAAGATGCCGCGCAAGGAAAAGCGCCGTCGTTCCCGTCCCCGCCGGGAGGATCACCCGCAGCTCCTAACGACCAGCACAAAACAAGAAGCCAACCACCAAGGACGGGGAAAAAAGACGAGACGGTCAAAAACTAAGGGGGACGGGCCCCCGAGGAAGTACAGGAACCGAGGCGCCTGCCAACCTCCGAAGAGCGGAACCGCGCGGTGGGGCTGCCTGGATGACATTCTCTTGAGAGGGCAACTTCGGTAAAAAGAAATAGGAGATACTAGCACATGCTCCCCCAAGGGCGGGGGGGAAGTCCTCATGTTTTGCATGCCTTGGTTGTTGGACCGGAGGGAGGGGGGTGTTTTCTCGTCTCACACACATGAGACACCGCAGGAAAGGTCCCTGCCCTTGAAAGAAGCTAAGGCGAACTATCTAACTCGAGGTTAAGGGTCGGCCGTGTGAATGGATGTACACGGACGTGGGTGCGTCGGTCCGGGTGGAGACCAGACGACGTATGCATCTTTCAAGAAACGCTAAAATTTTACCACGCTGTACATCTCTACTGCGAGATGAAAACATGTGCGCACGCCCTGTACCTTTCCAGATCCAGACGTACCCCGGGTAGCAAAGCCACATGTGTTGTTGTTACAGGTCATCTTCGCAAGGCTCCTGTGCGTGTCCTCTCGGAGAAACAAAAACAAAGCCTCACCTTACCGGGAGGCCCGTTTTCGTCCCAGTAGTCGATGATCTCGTCCGCCAGCATCGAGACTCCCTGGGAGCAAGTAGCCCAGGGGGCGGCGACATGCGCGAGATGACAAAAGGAAGGAAAGAAAGGAAGAAAACAAGAACAAAAAAAGAATAAGAAGGAAAGTGCGGCCTAGTCACGGCGAAAACACGGAGAAGCTTTGATCCTTGCAAGGGAAGCGCAACTACCAGCATTACATCATTCCGTAGAAAAAACACCCTGGCTTGTAACCCGCTCCCTCTGCCCTGGCTGTACCTCCATTGTGTAGCGACGAAAATACACACGCGGTCGGGGGGGTGCGTTTTCTCTGTGTAGTCGAGCTGGGACTGAAGCCTGTTTTACTTTTCAGCCCGGCAGGCGCGGTCGATGCCATCAATACCCCGCCCCCCAACGTCGGTTTCAGGAATGCTGTTTGCGGATGATTTTGTCGGTATGTCGGACACCCCTGAGGGACTGCAACTGCAAATTGACGCGGCGAAG